AATTGAATTTTTGGGTGTAAATTTCCGTGGGTCCCGTTTTTATTACGGAAATTTATGCCCGAAAAATTTCCTGATGTCATAAAGAATTATACTGATCGAAAATCCGATTATGAAAATCAACAATTATCGATTATTGATTGATTTAAATAATTTAAATAATAAAATCAAATAATGATTGATTTTGACTTTTTTCCAACAATCCATCTTTCCAACCATCCCAATTATTTGCATTATGCCTCCTGAATCTGTACCTAAAAAAACCCATTGCCGCATTAGTGACAAACAAAAAAAAGAAATATGTGAACTTGCTAAAAAAAACCCATTATATAAATAACAACAAGTAGCAGAAGAATTTATGGAACGTTATCTGAACTTGAAAATTGATCGTTCGACTGTGTCAAAAATATTAAAGAGAGCCGATGAATACCAATTTCAGGATGATGTCGCTGAAACAACTTTTCGTCATTATCCTGTGAAGTATCCAATATTAGAACTTGCTATGAATATGTGGATAGAACAGGTCACGACCGAAGGAATGATTATTTTGGATTTGTTAGTAAAGAAAAAAGCCTGCCAATTCGCACAAGCATTTGCTATACCTGAAGGGTCACTTACATTTTCAAATAGGTGGGCTACTAAATTTAAGAAACGTAATGGAATAAGAAAAATTACAATGCACGGCGAAGCAGTAAGTGTACCCTTAGAAAACTTGCCTGAGGAACGGAAAAAATTGCAAGAACTTCTCTCCCATTATAATCCAAAAGATATATATAATGCCGACGAAACGGGTCTATTCTACCGATTGCTTCCTAACTAAACTCTTTCTAAAAAACCGATGGCTGGAAAAAAAAAGGCGAGCTAAAAAAAAATAATTAATTTAAAGAAGTTGATTTAAATAAATAATAATAGTTTCTTTAGGAAAAAGCAAGAGTAACTGTACTACTTTGCTTCAATTCAACCGGTTCTCATAAGTTTCGTCCGCTGGTCATTGGTACTTCTAAAAAACCACAGTGCTTTAGTGGAATAAATACTTCATAATTACCAGTGATGTATAAAAATAATAAAAAAGTATAGATGAGAAGTGATATTTGGGAACAATGGTTACGTTATATAGATGATGGTTTTCGTATCCAAGGCAAACAAGTCTTACTTCTTGTTGATAATGCGGCATCTCATAAGACTCCAGGAACAAATAATTCAAGTGAAGTTCAGGATAATGATACAGATGAATCACTATCTGAGAATGATTTCAATGATGAAATTGAAAAACTTCAAGAAGAATCACAAGGAAGATCGCGAGGAAGATCACGAGGAAGACCACAAGGAAGGCCACAAGAAAGATCACGAGAATCCAAAAGAAGAACCAATATCACCCATTCTAACCGACCAAGACAAATTTCAGGTCTTACAAATATTACTGTACATTTTCTTCTACTAAATATGACTGCTCATATTCAGCCTATGGATGCTGGCATTATTAACAGCTTCAAATCAAAATATAAAAAATTGTATTGTCGTCATTTACTTACACAATTTGAAAAAAATGAAGATCAAAGGTAAAAGTTTTTTTTATATTTATATATTTATTATTTT